AAGTGAGCAGTGAGACAGGGGGACTTCATACCATCAAGAAAGCAGTGCCAGGAGCAGAGCGCGTCCTTTGGACCGGGGTCCCTGTGCCGAGAAGCTCCTAGTCCGGGGGAACACTGATGAGAAGGCCGACAGAGAGAAAACGCCTTCCCCTGGAGCTGACGCCCTGAATTTGGACTTTCGGCCTACCTTACTGTGAAGAAAAACTTCTCTTCGTTAAAACCATCCACTTGTGGTATTTCTGTTATGGCTGCACTAGATGACTAAGACGAGGACTAAGATGCACCTGACCCAAGTCATGGTGTTTTCAATCGCCTCATATGCATGTGAAAGCTAGACAACGAAAAAGAAGACCAAAGAAGAATTGATGTCTTTGAATTGTGGTGTTGGCGAAGAATATCAAATATACCATGGACTGCCAGAAGAACAAACAAATCTGTCTTGGAAGAAATACAATCAGAATGCTACTTAGAAGCAAGGATGGCGAAACTTTGTCTAATGTACTTTGGACATGTTATCAGGAGGGACCAGTCCCTGGAGAAGGACATCATGCTTGGTAAAACAGAGGATCAGCTAAAGAGAGGAAGACCCTCAACGAGATGGACTGGCACAGTGGCTGCAATGATGGGCTCAAGCATACCAATGATTGCTTGGACAGTGCAGGACAGGGCAGTGTTTTGTTCTGTTGTACATAGGGTCACTATGAGTTGGAACCAACTAGACAGCATCTAACAACAAAAACAACAGGGGGATAAAAAACAGGTAAATAATTGCCTAAGACCAGGGGTTAAAGTGGGAATCACCGAGAAAGGGGCAAAAGGGAACACTTGGGGTGATGAGAAAGTTCTATGTCTTGACTGCGATACAATCACACAACGCTATATAATTGCCAAAACTTAATAAATTGTACACTTAAAATAATGTAAAGTATACCTCAGAAAGCTAAAAAAAAAAAAAAAAGCCACATATTTTTGTGGATCTAAACAGTTAATTAAAAAGTTTGTTTGGAAAACCAAGCAAACAAGGAGAGACAGAAAAATCCTAAAAACAAGAGCACTGGAGTAAGAACGCTTTAGTCCTACCGTATATTAAAACATACTATAAAACTTCTGTAAGTAAACCAAACATGTATAAGTAACCCAAAATCACTGCCATCAAGTCAATTCCTACTAGTAGAGACCCTGTAGGACAGAGTAGAACTGCCCCATAGGGTTTCCAAGGCTGTAAATCTTTACGGAAGCAGACTGTCACATCTTTCTACCTCAGAGTGGCTGGTGGATTTGAATCTCTGACCTATCAGTTAGCAGTTGAGCACTTAACCACTGCGCCACCAGGGCTCCTTCTATAAGTAAAACAATGTGGTAATTTAATTCATGAGCAGACTAATGAAACAGACCAAAGAATGCTTAAATAAGAAATTTGCATATGATTATTTAGTATATAGTTAAAGTAACACCTCAAATTAGTGGAAGAAAACGTGAATTTTTAAAAAATATATTGTGTTGAGATAACCATATGGAAACAGATAAAATTAGGTGTTCTTCACACTATACATCAAAGAAAAATCCCAAATGGATCTAAGAGCTAAATGTAAAAAATAAAAGCATTCAAGCAATAGAAGAAAACATGGGTGAATTTCCCTAACACCTGGGAGTGAGGAAAAAACTGTCCTATGATTCAAAATGCAGACGCAATATAGGAAACACCAATAAATTTGACTACACAGAAATAAAAGCAAACAAAAAAGCTTCTCCTTGGGCAAAAACAACCAACCAAACACACAAAAGCAAAGTAAAACAACAAATGACAAACTGGATAATAATATCTGCCCAAATTATATCACAAATAAAGGACAAATACACCTAATACATAAAGTGTGACTATATAAAAGAGAAAAACAAAAACAAAGGCAATAGAAAATGGCAAGAGATATGCACAAATATTTCAGAGAAAGAAATGCAAAGGGTCTTTAAATGCCCCTCCCCCACAAAAATACGTCAAACTCACTCACAATTAAGAAAACGCAAATTAAAACTACAATGAGCTATCATTTCTCACCTATCAGGTTGGCAAAAATCCTCCTAATATATGCTTTCTTGGAAAGAGCAAGAGGAAACAAGCACTCACCTACATCATTGAAAGGAATGCAAAATAGTTCAGTCCCAAAGGAGTCATATTTAGCACTTACCCTTTGGCCCAGCAATCCCACTTTTAGGAATCTTTAACAAAAAATCACTAACAATAATATTAAAAGACACTTTTACTAGACTGTTGACTGCAGCACTATCTGTAAAAGCATAACGCAAAATAATTGAATAAATTATATAATAATTCTTTGTAACCTTGGGTAAGGTAAAGATTTCTTAGGTACAACAACAAAATCACAAACAATAAAAGAATAAATTGTACTTCAACAAAATTCGAAACTTTCATATTTCGAAATTCACCATAAAGAAAGTGAAAAGACAAGCCAAAGACTACAAGAAAATATTTGCAAATTATATAGCTGATAAAGGACTGTATTAAAAATACATAAAGAACTCTTACAACTGAATTAACTTTAATTTTGAAAACCCAATTAAAAATGGACAAAGGGTTTGAACATTGTACCAAAGAAGACATATAAATAGCTAAGACACTCATGAAAAGATGCTCGACATCATTAGTCATTAAAAAAACCTGTTTCCATCGAATCAATTCCAACTCATTGCAACCCCATGTGTTACACAGTAGACCTGCTCCATAGGGTTTTCTTGACTGTAATCTTTACAGAAGCAGACCGCCAGGCCTTTCTTCTGCAGTACCACCAGGTGGATTTGAACCACCAACCTTTAGGTTAGTAGTTGAGCACAAACCATTTGTGCCACCCTGGGACCTCTTCATTAGTCATTAAACCAAACCAAACACACTGCCATCGAGTTGATTCCAACTCATAGTGACTCTACAGGACAGAGGAGAACTACCCCATAGGGCTTCCAAGGCTGTAAATCTTTATGGAAGCAGACTGCCATAGCTTTCTCCCACGGAGCAGCTGGTGCGTTCAAACTGCTGACCTTTCAGTTAGCAGCCAAGCACTTTAATCACTGAGTAACCAGGGCTCCTTCATTACTCATTAGGAAAATGCAAATCAAAACCAAAAGAAGATGCTACTTCACACCCACTAAAATGGCTACACTAAAAAAGCAGACAATTACAAGTGTTGACAGGATGTGGAGAAATTGGAACCCTCATACATTGCTGGTGGGAATGTGAAATGGTGCAGTCACTCTGGAAAACAGTTTTGACAGTTTCTCAAAATGTTACATATAGATTTACCCTATGAACTAGCAATTCCACTCCTAGATATCTACCCAAGAGAAATGAAAACACATCCACACAAAAACGTGTACATAAATGTTCACAGCAGCATTATTCACAACAGCCAAAAAGTAGAAACAACCCAAATGCCCATGAACTGATGAATGGATAAATAACGTGTGGTATAATGACACAATGGAATATTATTAGGTAATAAAAAGGACTAATCCATGCACTAAAACATGGATAAAGCTTAAAAATATAAGCTAAGTGAAAGAAGCCAGTCATAAACAACCACATACTGTATGACTCCATTTATACAAAATACCCAGAAAAGGTAAACCTATAGCGACAGGAAGTAGGTAAGTAGTTGTCAGGGGCTGGGGGTGGACACAAGGTTTCTTTTGGGGTAATGTTCTAAACTAAAACTGTGGTAATCATTGCACAACTCTGAAATTTTACTAAAAAGCATTTAACCGCATACTTAAAATGAGTGCATGTTATGTTACTCATATTATACCTCAATAAAGCTTAAAAAAAAAAAAAAACAAGCCACAGACTAGGGGAGGTATTTTCAATACATTAAAAAAAAAAATTACCAAGATGTAAACTCCTACAAATGAAAAACAAAGATAAAGAAGCCAATACCAAAAAAAAAACAAAAACAAAAACAAAAAAATCCACAGAAGTATCTGAAATAGCAATTCATATAAAGAAAACCCACTGGTCAATATACTTACACTGAAGAGTAAATATGACGTGAAAGATTAACCATCCAGGATAACTTTATGCACTGCTTAAAGTAAGATGATAAAGTGGATGATTCACTGCTATGCACAGTTCTTCATTTAGGTAGATCTTTTAAAAAATGGTTAGTTTTCAGCTCTCCTCAAAGCTTCAATTACAGACCGTACCAAGAAAGATTTCATCATAATGTTCCTATTACACCTTCCCTTTTCGGCCTGATACACTTCAGTCTGACCACCATACATCTTTTACTTCCAGGTACCAACTTAAGACAAGAAAACCAAGGAATCACTTTGTTTAGTTGGTTTTGCTTGCTTTTAAAAGTTACCACAGTTTAGGATCATCTATGGCCAACAGAAAGCATCAGAAGCAATCTAATTCTTTTAATCAAATACACGGTGGTTCATATAAGATAGCATAAACAAATTAACATTCATTTTCCCTTTTCCAAGCTTTTCCTCTAGAAGTATTATTTTTTAGTCAACCTAAAAAGCAAAAGAATACACCTACTCCTCACTCATCAACTATCTCATTACCCAACATTTCGCATTTATGACAATACTAAAAAATCTACTATCCGATTCTTTTGTGCATTAACAATGTACATCTGGCAGTAACAAACATTAAGGCACAAGGTCAGAGTAACTCTGGCTGTGATGATTAAGGTTATGTGTCAACTTGGCTGGGCCATGATTCTCAGTGGTTTGGAAGTTATATAATAACGTAACTTGGTAGCTATGTAATGATGTAATTTGACAGTTACATAACGATGTAGTCATCCTCCGTTTTGTGATCTGATGTGATTATTCTCCTTTTTTGTATAACATCGATTTTCACATAACGACCCAGTCTTTGGAACCTGACCATGTTGGTAAGTGAGGAGTGGATACAATTCATTTTGAGTATAACCAGCAATAATCTGACCAAAAAAACAAACAGGCATGCAAATGTGGACTAACCTTCCAGTAGTCAGATTGTAAACTGTAGTATCTCTGGTATGCAGATAATGCTGAAAGAGGAAAAATAATAATGAGTCACAATAATGTAAAATTTCAAAATCAGTAATTTTTAAGTAACATATAACAAACTTCCCACCAAACCCCACCTCCTGGCAGTGATATCCCAAAAACCAAACAATTAAAAAATCTGGGGCCTCCCTTCTAAGAGTCAATCATAGTATCAAATGTCAAATATATAAGAGTTCACTGATGTAAAACCATGGTCAAATCTGAGACCTGTACTTGAGTAGATATAAAACCTAGGCTACCCCATGAATCAACTTGACCTTCTTCAGAGACCAAAAATGACAGAGGATTAAGATTTTTCTAAGGCTACTCCAGAACATGATATATTGTTTTTTCTCACAAGGGACCTAACTTCCTAGAATGACTAAGAACTCACCTACCTCAAAGAGGAAAGGAATTATTTCTTTTGTGATATTTCCTTTCATACCACCACTACCACTACCAACACCAACCAAAAAACCCACCTCACCATTACCCTATTCTTAGGCTACATTCAATTCAATTCCAAGATAAAGTGTATCTATCTCATACCCCTAAATCCATCTCAAGGCATAAGGATCTGGAAACAATTAAAATAGTTCCTGTCAACCTAAAAATCGAGGTGAGGTGGGAATAAAGGGTTAACTAAAAGCTATACATGCACATTAGAATGGTGGAGAAATGCTTTTTTAAAAAACCAATGGGCAAACCTCAATCCAGATCAATTAAGTCAGAATCTCTTACAGTATGGGCTAATCATTTATATGTTTAAAGGACCCCCCCACCCCCGACCAGGTGATCCTAAAAGTACAGCTGGGACTGAGCACCATCCTACAGACAAAGGCAGTAAAATGGGAACAAAAGCAGGACAGCAAAGAGGCAGAAGCTTGGACCCATTCTAATATGCTGGGAAATTCTTAAGACTTGAGGCAATTTTATGAACTTCAGACATTTGTACAACAGAAGTAAATTGCAAATACTACTTGAAATGCTTTCATAAAAATCAAAGCTGGCAAAAGACAATTAAGAAAAAAACAAATGAAAAGTAATGGAAAAAACTTGTTCTATCATATACTGAAATTATCAAAAAATTAAAAAATTAGAATACAAACAGAACAAAACTGGAAGTCCACAATGAGACCCTGGTGTATGTAAGAATAAGGATATAGGTGGCATTTCCAATTAATGTGAAATTAACATAATAACCAGCACTCGAGTACTTATATGAAAACAAAAAAGTAAAATTTCTAACTCACATCATATACTAAATTAAAAATAAAAAAATAGATTCAAGAGTTAAATATAAAAACGAATCCATAAAACTACTAGATAATGAGGAAATGCTCGCGATCACTAGCCATTAGAGAAATGCAAATTAAAACCACAATGAGATACCATCTCACCCCGGCATTACTGGCACGAATCAAAA